CATATATACAAAGCACATTTAAACACTTAAAAATAAGTCTGAACAAGAATACATACCAGGTTGAGTTTGCATGTTAAGTGTTTCAATTTACATGCACATCATGAATCTTAATTAATTAAAAGTGGATGGCGGTTGATAGTGAGTTTGGTTGTGAAGTTTACGTTGTTGTGTTTATTTGCTCATGGTAACGCTGTGGAGCAGAGGCAGGGCAGGCTGAGGGACTGTGAGGGAGCCCGGCTGCCTCTGGTCACCACGCGGTGCGGCCCGTGAGGATTGCTGTCACACTGCTGCTCTAGAACATGGAGGAGGTTGTGTCTATTTCTTCTATAGATGGGTTTTTTTCCAGCTTCTGTGGCTTCATGTCTAGCTTTTAAAGTAACATGTTCTTAATATTTTATGGTAGCGTAAAACACGGCTCTTGCTTCCCAGGTTCCTCCTCCTCCCTGTGTCCTTGCAGACAGCAGTCCCGTCCCCCTTGTGATCATTTCAGTCGGCAAAGTCCAACTGTTGCAGCAGTGGGTGGGAGGGAGAGTCTCTCCCGTGAGCTGTGATGGTCAGAGTAGCCTTGTCGGTACCTCTCGTGGAGGGAATTGCTCTCTTGGGTGGGGGGAAACCAGAAATAGATACAGCATTGGACTGGTCTCTGCAGATGGTTCCTGGAATGTACCCTGAGGGATGCCCTGTAGGATTTATCTCCTCTCTTCTCGCTGTAGGAGTAGGGGAGCTCAGAAGTGACCCTGGCTTTGCCAGCATCTGGCCCTGCTTTGTCCGGCCTCAGCTCTCCTCAGAAACTTCCCCCAGCTAAAAAAGGGGGTTGTTACTGTTCTTTTAAATGATTTGTTCTTTCTGCTCTGGGTCATCCTGTATCACAGCCCTCCAGGGATGCCCTCCCAGGTTTTAATTTGGTAACTCTTACGCAAATCCGTAAAATATTTGAGTGATAAATTAAAAGTTAGAAATACTTGAGTTGGTGATTGAGAAGTGTCGTTCAGGCCACACGCAAAACTGGTTTGTGGTAGAACAGGTTATTACAGTGTTGGTTTTTATAGTGGCATTATCTTGATTTAACAGCAGGATTATATATTGTAAAATAACACGCTGGAGGTGATGTGACATCCTGGTGATGTTACGATAAGGACGTAGGATAAAGGTCTGGGAGCTGTGGGGCTGAGCGCTGGCCCCGGAGCCCAGCCCTGCAGGAGATGGCTGATCCTGGTGGAAGGACAGGAGGGGGACAGACAGGAGGGGATGGCCCTCTCCTCCCTGGTCACTCCTTTCCCAGGTCAGAGGATTTTCCGACCGTCTCGCGGGCCCTGCTGGAAACCCTGGTGTGTGCGTGGGCCGAGGGCGAAGCTGTTCCCTGGGTTCGGCTGGGCCTGGCATGGCCGTGGGAGTGCTGTCGTCCTCACCCCCCAGCCCCGGGGGAATCATTGCTAAACATGCTTAGTTGTGTGTGTCATTGTATCAGCTTGTGTTATAAATATTACAAACAGAGCTGCCCATGGGCTGTCAGTGGGGCGTTCCCGTGTGAAGCACCAGATCTGTCTCCCCCCAAAGGCTTGGGCCCTGGGAGGGACGGAGGTTTAAGGTGCAGCAGAATGAAAGGTCTGAGGGCAACAAATACTGCCCCTTGTGCCATAGAGGGAGAGAGAAAGAGTAAAATCTTGTCTCGGTGAGGAGAAAGCGAGAGTGGTGTGGGATTTGCATGGGGTGGAAAGGAAAACAAGGGCAGGTAGAGACTTGAAAGGGGTGAGGAGCCGAGAGGGAAGGGAGGGGGCCGGGGCTGGCAGCCCGGCTGCGCGGCGGGGAGACGCTCTAGGAAATTCCCCGAGCGCTGGTGGGAGCCTCGTGGTGACACTTCACCAGCTGTTCCCTTGCTCCTGGCGCTCTGCCGTTCACAAATCGTGTGGCAGCAACAAACCCCCCTCGTCTGCGGAGCGGGTTGTGTTCCCGTTACTCTGCCGGAGGGACCGCACTGTTTGTCCGCAGCGACGGCGGCCGGGGGAGCGCTGCGTGTCCGGTGCTGAGCTGGGGGGCACCCGCCGGGGTGTCAGCTGTCAAGGGGCAAACAACCCTTATAAAATCAGACTCAGGCAGCGTTTCTGAAGAAGAAAATAATTTTTAAATGAAGTGCCGTGTCCTCAACTGTGTAGGCCCCAAAGGTTTTCTGAATGTCAGGTATCACAACAGCAATTTTAGAGCGTGCATTGAAAGAACTCCAGGTTTAGATAGGCTCCAGCTTAAAATATGCAGATCTGCATCAGGGTGGGACTGCTCGCTGGGATGGCAAAGGTGCTCCCTCCCCACACACCCCCAGGCTTCAGTGAGTTTGCAAATTGACATTGCACAACTTTATGAGCAGTTGGAATCTGGGGGAACAGAGGTTTTTGGTGTGCTGAACAAACGATGTAATTTCTAAGGGTTTTGGGGTGAAAAACTGATGCTGTGTGTTTCTGAAGAGAGCGAAGAGGAGCTGGTGGACAGGTCACAACCAGGAAGCGTTTTTTCCTTTCCCCTGTCCTCCAGGTGGGACCTGGGTGGCAGGAGATGGTGTCTGTTCCTCGTATGAGTAAGAAGTGTTCAGAGGAAAAAGAAAGTGTTTTTTTTCTCCTCCCCTTCAGAACTTTGCCCCTTTGTTCATGGGGTTTTTTTTTCCTTTTTAATATTTCCACCGGGAGTTACTTTCCATTGAGCAGGGCAAGGCCACCCTGGAGTCCATGGGTGCCCTGGGGGCCAGCGCGGGGCCGTGGCCGTGCAGCAGCAGCAGCACACGGCAGCAGGTGCCCATGTGTCTGGTGAAGGGTGGAACAACCTTTCAGAGGGTGTTGAATTAACGTCAGAGCCGGCTACGGGAAGAACTGCCGGAGCACCAGCAGATGGACATCGCTCAAGGTGTACCTTTTGCCAGAAGCTGACTTAGATAAGGCACACACACTTAATTGCTCCCTCCATCAAACATATAAAGACGCCCTTTAGTTTGATAAGCCCGTGGCTTAAGAGATCTCAAGGCCCACTCAAGTGTCTCCGCCAGATAACATCCCCAAAATACTAATTATCGGTCTCTTCTTGTTATTTTGGATAGGTGCAAAATTTTCACAGCTGCGTTCAAGTAACTGAAGACTTTGTGTCTCCAGAACATCTTGTACAGTCCTTTCACCTAACGCAGGAGCTGCGGCTGTCAAAGGAAGAAATCAATTATGATGATAAACTGCAGGTAGGAAATGAATTCAGCTCTGGAAGCTGCTGGGAAGGCAGGGCGTGCTCGGGCTCATTGACATGCCGAGCGGTGCGTGGAGCTGCTTCCTCGCTGCTGTTCACACAGAATAACAATGAGCAGCAGCACCAGTGCCAGGGGTGTGAAGGACTCTCCCTCCTTCCCCCCAGTTGCTGGTTTTATTTATTTCACGTTAACGTTTTAAAATGTGTAAAAAGGTGTTTGCTTTTGCCCTGGTGTGAGGCAGCCTTCCTCGGTTTTCCATCCCCTTGGCTTTGGGCTCGGTCCTGAACGCGGTTACTTCATGGAGAATCCTCACTGAAATCTGTCTGATGTTCTTGCAGGTTAAAAATATCTTGTATCATGCAGTTAAAGAAATGGTGAGAGCTCTGAAGATCCATGAAGGTGAAATGGAAGATATGGATGAAAACTAAGCGCGCTCTGCTTTTTTTGTGTTAACATCAAAAGGAGGTTATTTTTTCTAATATATGAACAGTATGCACACTAATTTAAGCTTCACAAACCATCGGTGCCAAGAAGACATAGTCATCGTATTTACTTGTTAATGACACTGCAAGGGTAGAGCTTCATATCACAGCCACTGTGATGACGCGTTAGACTCGCAAACGACGCAGCAGCGTTCTGCTGTCCTGTATTATAATGTACATGAAGTTTGTGAAATGTCAAAGATTTAAGATGATGTATTTATTTTTGGAAAAAAAACCCACAAAATTCTATGCTATATTGTTGATCAAATGTAAATGTGACTTGTACAGTTTGCTAAAATAATTCAGATATTTTTCACTACATTGAGACAGTTACTGTGAGAGTAGGACACAAACACCAGCTATTGCCTGCATTTGGGATCTTGCTGAGTCCGCACAGCAGTCATGTCATAATCTGAAAATTACTGCCAAATAATTGTAAACTTTGTAAAATATAAAGTATATAAAGTAGATATTAAATACAGACACTTCAGTATTTTATTGAAGCTATTCAGTGTACAATTAAACGTTTTCAAAAGGTGTAATTTATTTAAAAATTGTCTCATTTTGGTAAAATTTATGTGAACTTTTAAAGCTAAATATTAAACTTAATATGCTATGTAAATATATACATATATACATTCAATGATGTATTTTTTTAAAACATTGGCTTGCTTTAATTTGTTAAAAGTGCAAGTGTTACACATGCTTTGTACATTGAAGTTGAAAGGGGTTTTACATTTTCCATTAAAATGACTTTATCAAATGTTGTCTCGTGGTGTTGGTTTGTTGTGTTTGTGGCTGCTTCTGAGGGATAAAACAACTCTCACGTTTCTGATGTTCTGTCTTTAATAGCCCAGCACTCACTTCGGGCAAAGGGGGAAAGGAATTTCTGGTTTTTATAGCATCCTGGCTCTTTACGGTTCAAGTATTACAGCAAAATAATGGATGTTAACAAAAAATGTTTCTGTTTTTATTTAATAATGATAATTGTTAGACAGTTGAGCAGAATTCCAGCTCCTGTTGGTAGTTTGAAAAGTTAAAGTGTACATGGATTTAAACTATTAAAACCATTCAAATGTTTAGATTTAATATCACGTGCTGGGTGCAGCTGTGAGACTGCTCCCGGTGTGTCCGAAAGGGGCTAGCAATTGCCCTGGTGACTGCTCCCGGCCTGACAAAATCTGACTGGTTTTGGGTCACCAAAAAAACCCCCAAATGCACACACACACACAAAAAACCCAACAAAAACCCCATATAAATTATCTCAAGAAATAATGAAACGCAAAAGCAATTTCTGGTTCCAGAAGTGAAGTTCTTTATTTAGTTGGTTTGCAAGCTTGGCATTTACTCAAGTTGCAGAGAAATCCGTGGGGCTGACGCTGTGCTGAGCAGCGGGCTCTGACTCAGCCCCATCCAGCGTCTCCCCCTGCACGTGGGGCGGAACCCAGCGGGGCCTCGAGATGCACGACCCTCCCGGTGTGTTTGTGTAACGACAAGTGGACTGAAGTTGTACATACCATGTTTTTTTTTTTTTAAGTTGAGGATATGTAAATGAGTGAATTTTAATCAAGTCTAAATATTTCCCCCTACCCCTGAGTTGAGTTTTGGTGTGAGATACTTTTAACATTTGTGAAATCTGTTTGAGGCTGCTGAAATTTGCATCGGGGCTGCAGATGGCTGCGTTCCCCCCCTTGGCTTGTTCCTGCTCATAGAGAGGTTGGGGGGCCCTGGGCTGCTCTGCCCCCTCGCTCCGGCCATGGGGAAAGGCTTGGTTTCCCCTGGGTTAGGATGGGAACGTGTGGCCTCGGTGTGTCTGCCCTGTCAGAAGCACCACCCTCTGAACTCGGGCACCCTCCCTTGTGCCCCACACAGGGCTGTCCCCATCACCCCACAGCACAGACAGGGCCGGGGGGACACAGACAGTGCTGTCTGTGCCTCTGGGGTTGAAGAAGTTGTTGCCTCTCAGGTGGCAAATGGAGTCGCTGAGCAGAGGCCAATTTGTATTTCCAGGAGTGAATATTAACGCTCTTCCTTTGTGACCTTTTTCCTGCCACCTTTGCTGATGAATCCCTGAGTGCCCGACAGAGCTGTTGATCTGCTAAAACCCCTGGGTGAAGCGGCCGGCAAAGCAGCAAGAACCCTCCCAAAGGAAAGCCTGAGAGACTGACAGGATTTTAAGACAAAACACCTCATTTTGGAGAGGCTGAACTGATGGGCTGAAGCTGGTGTTGCCTGCCGTGCCGCAGTCGCTGGGGTAAGGAACTCTTCGCTGCTTCCATCACAAAGATAAATTGGTGAGTTAGTTTTAACATAAATAGGATTTTTCTGTAGTCGCTATAGAGTGTAACTGTCCACTGGGTTTGTCTGGAGGAGTTTACCTGTGGTGAGGTGGTGGGGTGGTCACACCAGGTGCAGTTTTACAGCGTTGTGTTCATGGGTGTATGCGGTGGGTTTGTGATGCACAGAAACACCCGGGTGCGTTTTGCACCTCGGGAAGGTTTTCTGGTCTAGAATCTCAGCTGTTGTAATGGAGCTAAAAGCATTGGGTGACGTCAGCTGAAGCTGTTTGAGTGCAGGAACACTGTCAACTCCTAGAAGGAGGAGATGAAGTACCTACCTTACCTTTTGCCACCTTCCTCTTGAGATCAAGCTCTTGTCCTGACCTTCTGTGCTCTCCATGAAAGTCTTCCTCTCTTTTGTTCTGTCCTTTGAAAGCTCACGTCTCAAAGCCATCGAAACCACGGGCCCTGTTCTCCGCACCCCCTCCTTCCCTCACCCCTTCCCAGCTCCTCACCGTCATCTCCAGCCACTGCGCTGCCCCACAGTAAGTGACCGTGGCAGTTTTCCTATAACTGCAAAGGTAATTAATGAAGAGTAAGTAATTAGCAAACAATAACGAGGAGCTGCTGTAGCCTGAAGTGTTCCAGCATGGGCGGATGGCCGGGTCTATGGTTTAGCTGAGGCAGAAGTTACTGGATTGCTGGAATTGCTGGCAGTGGAACTGGTCCCCATCGCACAGGTCAGGCGTAGGGGCTTACAACAATCTGATTTTGAAATCTCTGTATTCTACTCTTCCAGCTTCACGGAAGTTGCTCAGATCTGTGTGTGTGTGTGTAACCAGCCCCCATCTGATCAGCACCACGTTCTCATGCTCTCTGACCTTTTCGGTAGGTGGTAATTTAGTTGGTCCCCTCTCCCGTGACATCCTGTCAAGCCCTCTCCTGCTCTCCCAGCTGAGAGCCTTCCCCGCCCCGGGCCTGTTACTGGGAATTTCCCTTCCTTCCTCCTTCCCCAGCCGCCATCGCCCCGTTCCGCTGCTCTCCCCTGCAGGATGTTTGTGCTCCCCCCACATCCGTGCTGCCTCTCCCCACTGAGGCTCCCGGACCGAGGCTCTGCTGCTCCTTCCCCTCTGACCCCAGTCCAGCCTCAGGCAGTGCCGACTCTCCGGGTGCTCCCTCTTTCCACCTTCTGCCCTGCCCTTTGTTGGCAGCAGCGACGCTTCTCCTTCCGCGCCGGGCTGTTCCCAGGGTAGGAGTGCCCCGGGAGGGCAGGGGGGGGCTCCTCGGACCCAGCCTCTACCACCAGCCCCCCCTTTTCTTTCCACCTTGGTGGGGTGACCCAGGAAAGTGTGAGTGAGGAGCAGCGTCAGCAGCGCACACGGAGCACCCCCAGCGCCTCTTGTCGTAGGTTTTGAAAAGGAAGTTGCGCTCTATATATAGCAGGTAGGAAAATCTTGCCTCACAGCAAGTTCAAGACGTGTTTTTACCTGACGTGTTGCGTGCAAACAGTTGTGTTGTAGTCCTGGGCCTTTCTAAGGCTAAGTGCCACACTGGAGGATTTTTACTGTTGTGGTTCACAGTGAACATTTCGGGCACCTTCCAACTGTCCCAACACAATGCACTCGCAACACAGATGCCTGTTCCTTGTTCCAGTCCCTGGGCACGTGGTTTTATCGTAGCTCTGTGCTTCCTTAGTGGAATTAAAGAGTAGGGTTTAGTAGCTCTGAGGCAGGAAATCCTGTATTTTCACAGCTCTAAGGATTTCACATTGTTTGATCTCAGTAATACCTTAACTCCCGCAGCAAACGGGCCTGAGGGAGCACTTCAAATGATTACAAGACAAAAAGCCTGGGTAAGTTTAAGTTGCTTTTGGTGAAACAAACATGGGGGAGAAAGGAGGTGGAGGAAACGATGGCCATAGCCCTGAGTCTGTAGGGAGCGACGAGCTGTTTTATACAGTTGAACTCTGCGGGGCACATCCTGAGGCAGAAAGGCCTGGGAAATACTGTCCAGCCTGATCTGTGGCAGCCACCCTGCTTACTCTTGAACAGTTTGGTTGATTTTGTTTTCTACTGTATTTTTAGTCCAATTCCATAAGGGATTTTATCAGCTGTTGTGGCTGTACTTGCTTTTCTCCATCCCTTTTGCTGGTGAACCTGCTTTTGCAGAACCACAGAACAGCCCAGGTCAGAAGGGACCTCAAAAGATCACCTGGTCCAAGCTTTTGTGGGAAAGGCAGCTGAGATGAGGTGCAGTCCCCACTGCTGACTGCAGGCCAAGGAGAATTGCAGATGGCTGAAGGGCTGCTGCTGCTGGCAGGACAGTAGGAAGGAGCTCAAGGCCAGACCTCCTGAAAACAGAAATGCTCCTAGAGTAAGAGGGCACAAGCTCCTCTTTTCCCATTACATAAAACCAAAATGTAAGACCCAACACCTGTATTTTGGTTTTAGCTGTCATTGCCAGTGGTGGTGCAGTCTGCGGGTTTTGTTCTCGGGAGACTCCACGTTGCTTCCCAGCCACCTTCCTTTGGTTTCTCCTGCTGTGGAGATAGAGCCAGAGACTTGGGCAATCACAGTTTCTTCTTGCAAAGCGTACGTTGGCTGTACTCAACGGGGATAATATTTCTGTGTTCCAAGAGAAGAGTGGTTTCTGTGGTAAAGCAAAGTCTATGAATAGCAGTCAGCGTCTGGACACCCGTTTAAAATTGGTTCTTGGTGAGACACTTTGAAATAACAGCCCACACAAGTTTTTTAGCTCTGACCAGCATGGAACAGTGTGGATCAGACTCAGTGCCCGTGGGGATCTTTCCGTGTGCTGTGCCAGGCTCTGGTTACGTGCCGTGTCCCCACCGGGACCTTGCCACGATGGTGCTGCCAAATCGCTCCCTTTCTGCCTCAGCGTTCACACACCGCGCCCCCTCCCTTCTTTGGGAAGGGCTGGGGAATCAGCCAGTTCCTGTGGTGGTGGCAAGAAGAAGACACCGGCAGAGGAAAGCAGAGTTTCGCCGAGCTCGGAGCCCAGCGTGGCCACCAGATGGCGGTCGGTGGCAACAAACGCTCCGAAAGGGGCAACCAAACCCTCGGAAAGCGGCGACCTGCGGAGGGGAGAGCCGGGTCCCCCTGGTCACCCCGGCTGGTGCGGGAGGGGGAAAGGGAGCAGGAGCAGAAAGAGTAATGGCAACTGACCCAGAGCTGCGGGGAAAGAAAACCGTGTGTTTCTTTTTATCACTTCACAATAGCAGAACTCAAACAAACTGACGGGCAATACTCATTTAAAACAGTTTTGAATTGTTGGGGCATAAACTAATTGATGACAGACACTGGGGAAGAATTCCCTTAGATTTATCGCTGTGTATCTAGAAAACTTGTCCTCTAGTGGTGAGTATTCCTCTGTACAACTTTTCGTTCTTAAAATGGACTGCGTGATTGCTTACCTCTGAATTTAGACTGCAGAATTCCTTTCTTGGAATTCATCTTATTTCATACACAGCCTTTTCCCTGGAACGTAAAGAAATGTATAAGGAAAAGTCATTATTCAATGGATTCTCAGCTGTAGGATGTTCTACAAACATCCTGTGCTGCTGCTGAGAGGGGTGATCCTACCTGCTCCCATGTGCCTGTCTTTCTGTGGGCTTCGTGGCTGAGCTGCTGTGTGGGAGGGAGGGAGGGAAGAGGCTGGCATTGCTCAGCTCTCCTTCCAGCAGGAGCACCGCTGCTGTTCACTGGGCCATGGGCTGGTTCTTTACTGGTATGGCCTGCTCTGGCTCTAAGATGGTCTCTGTCTCACACAGAAATGCTCACTTTCCACATCACCTTCTTGGGGCTTGTGTGACACCGGCAGTAACGCCAGCAGTGCTTATACTGCAGCTCCTCTCCTAGGAAAGGGAACGGTGCACCCCTTCTCCTTCCTGCATCACTCACGGGAGTGGAAATCTCATGCTGAGCCACGCTCCTGGAGTTAGATTTCAGCAGCAGTCATGTGTTGAGTGGGCAGACTGCAAGAACAAACAAACATTTGCATTGCAGGAAGGAGGAAAGTTTTAACAACAGTTACAGAAGTAGCCGCTATAGGGAAGTGGTTTTTTTCAGATCTGGGGTTTTATTTATGCTGCTCTGGATGAAGGGACAGTTTAGTATTAAAAACGGAAGGCAGAGCTTGCAATTCCCCTACCCTGACTGGTCAGAATTCTTGAAGAATCCTGACTGTTCAGCAGAGGTAGTGGGGCTAAAAATCCCTTCCTTCTCCTATAGCTGCTCTTTGCAGAGACAGCCAAAATGCCTGTCTATAGGTAACAGCCCTGGGCTATCATCCCTGGCCTTGACATGAGATAGGTGCTTAAATAATTTTAATTCTTTCCTGTGAGCAGATACCATTTTCTTGCTTCACTTACACCAATAGAAACACTATGCTCCCCTGCCTCGTCACCTGTAACCTGTGCCAGGCAGGTAACAGTGGAGAATGTAACTTGCCCTTTGGTGGGCACAGCGAGCTGGGGCTGGCCTGGAACAGGTTACCTTGTCACAGCTCTTCTGTGGGGCTACGTCCTAAACGGCTCCAACTGAAAAATAACTTCTTTTCCCCTAGCAAGAATAGTTTCCTGCTACAATTCTGCACAAGGGACCTCCTCTAATGAACTTGTCTTACCTTTGTTTCCATAGGCTTTTTCTAACCTTTCTAGCCTTCAAGCAAGCACAGGAGACACGAGGTATACAGAGGTAAGGGGAGGATTTGCACAGCAGTAAGGTGTCCTTGCTGCACTTCCAAGTCTATTCTGCAAGAAAAATGTACCCTTAGAAAGCAAGCTTACCTTGTAACGGCACAAGAATAACTTAAAATGGGGTAGCTTGCAACACTTAAGGCTTGTCATTAATCAGCAACAGGTAAAGTTAACTAATGCCTCCAACTCCACATTGCAGCACCCCCCTCAGGAAGGCCTGGGCTCAGGTTGGGCAGGGGCTGTGCCCCCTCTTCAGACACCAAAGCCCTGAATGGGCCACGCAGCTCTGGGGGTGTGGTTTGTGCAGCTCTGGGGGCCCGTCCCGGAGCAAAACCTCAGCCCTGCTTCCTCTGACACTTGGGCACTCTGCAGGTGGCAGAAGCCGGCTCTTTGCCAAGTCACTTCATCTATAGGCAAGGCCCTCTGAATTCATCCCAGCTTTCCCGTATTTGCTGGACGATGAAGCCAGGAGTTCAGCTGTACATAATATAAATCTTAATTTGTAGAGATTTAACACACATTTAGTGTCAAAACACCTTGCTTTTATTTTCATATCCTTTTTGAATCAGGTTAAGCTGTAAACAATTTCTTTTTCAATCAAATACTGCCAGCTAGAATTACTTCCATTCATGCATCACTGAAAACAAAAAGGGTATTTTTCCTTAAGTATAGATTTTTTTTTTTTTAAACAATGTCACTTTATACAGAAACCAATAGCTAGATTCGATGCACCCTGATTAGTTATGTAAACAGATAACCCAAAAAAACTCGTCAACAGAACTAATAAGTTGGTTCCTTCATAGAATGGAAATTAAAATCTCTCCTGACTTGAGGTTAACATGGTCAGGAGTATAGAGTGTGGCACATAAATCCATCTAGGAGGTGTATAAATTGCACTGTATCTGAATTAACAAAGTTATGCATAATGAAATGCACAGTTTAAATTCATGCTAGAAAGCATCTTTCAATATGAAGTGGCAGCCAACTGGCAACCATAACAGTTAGGTTCTGCACCATCATTTATGGCATTATAGATAACTATTACCTATAGCATACTTTAAAATCCTGAAGGATTGTGTTACTTGAAACATTCTCCAGGCAGTCATTTGGTTTGAAACATTAGGAGAAAGACTATAGAGCTCGCCATCTTATACCGATTATGGTACCTTTAACTTCTATGAAGTAGATCAGATATGGTGTGTATTTCACAGTAACAAAGTTGCTTTAATGCCTTTTCTCCAACAGTAGGATTGTGTTAGATGTTTCTGCCCTCAGATCACCACTGTCCTGGTGGTTTTCCCTTTTCTTAAGTTTGGGTAACTACATTGAGCACTTTTCCTGGTTTTTAACTATTCATCAGTCCTTTTAGTATATCTTCAGAGAGTTCCATCAGAGGGAGTTCAGGGGACGGGATGTCCAGGGGGGGAAGGTTGGGTATTGGAATGTCCTTTGCCTTCCCAGCCGTCGTTGCAAACTTCTGCCAAGTTGCAGCTGAAGAAGTGGCTTCTGAGTGTTGCTGCAGACCCCACAACTCTGACTTCTCAACAAAGTCAGCATCTACATCCAACTCCTTGTCTACTGGAGATTTTTGGAGTTTAGCTCTTTCTGCTTTTAACTGCTTATTCTCTCTCCTTAATCTCTCATTTTCAGCTACAAGAAATTCTATGTGCCGTTTCAAATCTGCAATTTTGGTTGCCTGCTCTTCTATTATTGTTTTGTCATCTTTTGGAGCTTTGCTCCCAATACATGCTTCTACCGGCTCCTTTTTTTTCTGAAGCAGAAATAACAATGTATCCGGGTCCCTGTCAAAGACACCCTGAATATCCTGTGGATGTTTCTCTGCGGAAGGGCTGTATTTCTGAGTAACAGGAACCAATACATTTTGATCATCAGAGTCTTCAGCAGACGGCTTATAAGAAGTCTGAAGATGTGCAGCTAGTTCCTTGTCAGCATTCTGCTGGGCTTTCAGCTTTTCCTCCCTCTTTGCCCTTTTCCACCTCTCCTGGATGAGCAGTAACTGTTTCATGTGACTATCCCTTTGTAATTCCAGTGACAGCTGAGCCTGAGTAAGAACAAGATGAAACAATTTAATTGGTGATCCCTAATTCCACCTGAATAGTCATGCAAGCAAAGTTACATGCATGTAAATCTTTACATAAACATCATCACAGCATGCCCGAGGGAGAGGGAGGAGCTCTTGTTATTCACATACTAAATCCAACAAGAAGTGATCTCTGCTTGTACATTGCAACAGGTTGAGGTATGTCGTGTCACACAAATTTAGCATAACTACTAGTTTTGTGAAAGGATGAGTTAACATTTGGTCTTTTTGTTTGGTTTTTGGCTTTTACGTCACTGACCAGGCTCTGATAATACCTCTGAGCAGAGGCACTAGAGAGTTTAACTGACCTGGGATCGAAACCGAAAAGGAAGAGATTCACTTGGCACACACAGCCACACTTTAGCTAAATAATACAAACTATTTGTATGTTTCTGTGATGGTATTTGCATAAACATATTAATAACAGCCAACACTAAGCAGAAGAGTGCTTCAAGGCTAGATATGTTTCCAAATGATTAGCCATATTTAATGAAGGGAAAGGTATGGTGGTTAGTAACTCACAGGAACCACCTGGGTAAGAGGATACCATTGTTCTACAAGAATGACCCTTTGGAGGAAAGACAGATGTCTAATCTCCAAGGGTTATTTGCTTTGATAATCGTGGCTAAACTCAAAGCATGCTGCTATAAAAGTGCTGAGCAGACTACGCTACTACATTCAGAAATAGATTTGTGCAATGAATAAGGAAAGGTGTAGAGCTGTTGTTTGGGAGATTCCCTAGTCAGAATGACTAAAAACAAAATTACAGACTGCAGATGAGATGCTCAGCTTTGTGTCTCGGCAGAACAGCCTAAGTGCCTCGCAGCAAAAGTTAAACATGAAACTAGTTTTATCACCTACTTGAAGATGCCTTGTAGACTAGAAACCATTGTTGGAGAACCCTTGGATGGGTTAGTAGTTCTCTTGTCACTGCTCCATGTAAACTTGGAAAAACTCTCAGGGAAGATTGGCATGACTGCACTTCTGAAAACACTGGTGCAGTTGCCATGGGTTCAGAAAACCATGCAGAGGCTAACGCCCGAGATGGGTATGATGAGTCAGGGCCACAATATGACACACAGGCACACAACAGAGCTGTGGCTGATTCTAGTGCCTGCTGCACTTTGGTCTCACCTGCTCTGACTGGGTCAGCTTCATAGCGTCTGTAAGGTATGCTGCAGAAGAGAAAATTGATAAACACTTAGGACAGGGTTACAAAACCTGAACGTTTCCGTGAAAGCTAAGAAAAGGCTTCAGACCTTCTGTGTTCTGAATGCCCATATAAAAGTAGCAGTCTAGAGGCAAAGTATTTATCAAGTTACAGTAGCTGGAAATACCTGTTGTTTTTAAGAAGTCTGAAAAAATTACTGTAAGATTGTGTAATACATGCTACACCATTCCCATGGCATCCTGTTGGCTCAGGTTGTTCCCATTTGTTTTTGAGAGGAGGACCAGCAGCCATTTCCAGAAAGTCCCAGAAGAACAACTTTCCCATCAAGGAAAGAAACACAGTTAAGGACCAGAGTTCTAGCATACAAGCATTTTAAGACAGAATATGGTAAGTAAAATCCTCTCGCCCATGGCACGCCAGTACTATGAAGTCATACTTTTTAATTATATTCTTGATGAAGATGTATAATCTGTAGTTCCCCAATTTTTTCATCAACTTCCCCTCCAAATCAGAAAAGGTGCTGGCTTACAGTCAGAGCAGCACTTCAGACTTTAAGTGTATCTTGCTAGTGCTGAAAATGACAAGACATAAGAAATTCTTAACCAAATACAGAAGGATGTAAGAGA